GGATGGGCGTCCTTCACGATCTTCATCCATCTTTCCAACATGATTCCAGATATTTTAATTTTCTTACCCAGTGTGTCACGAGTCACAGTAATATAACGAGGACATTTGTCACCATAAACTTGGACCATTTCCTGAAAAATGTCGGAAGGGGATTTTCCTTGCAAGTGTAAAAACTTGATAACTGAGCTATATTCAACAGGCTCCATGGCACAGCTTCAGCAAAGAAAAACCAAACAATTTTGTACCTGGTTTAATTTTACACGCTGACTAATGACTTATTATTGTCGGATTGTCCTGAAAATTTGCATGATGTGTTCCAAAGAAATTGTCTAAAGGCTGGCAAAATTTCATTACTCTACCATGATTCCTTCTTACCCAGACTAAAGACTTATTTCACTTATTGAACCCCCCTCTCGAGAACATTTTTTCGGACTGGAGTCTGAATATATATAAAACCCATTTTCGGACAAGTCCAAATTTTTAAAAATCTGATCGGACTTAAGTCCAAATAGAGGTGGCCTTTTTGTATAGTGTGTTGTCAGGCAATTTCGCCACCCTACCAGTCAAAACATAAACGTTTACTCTGTTAAGACTGGTAAAAAATGCTCAAGATAAATTACATCATCATATGTATCTTTAAATTTGTGTCAGTGTGGTGAGATCTAATCAGCTCTTTACTGGGCTCTTTCCAGTTTCCTTTGCTTCGCTTTCTCCCTTCTCTCTTGTTTTGCAGCTTCCTCTCTTTCTTTCTTCTCTGCCAGGGCCCATTTTTGTTCAATGAGCTCCTTTTTTGTGAGCAGTCTGTGGAATGTTATTGCTCGAGAACGTTTTTTTAGTGCAGGGGTTGTGGCTGGAACAACATAAAAAAATCCCATTTAGCTCAGTGTTCCAGTTCATGGAGTTTCTTCTGTCTCCATGGGGCAGGATGCACTATCCTGGGAGCTTGAGGTGATGGATCTTCTGAGGGAAGAGCTGTTACTTCACATGGTGGGTCTGTTGGGTCTGTCATGTTCAGTAGGGCGAAAATGTCCACCTGCTGCTCCATACCGTTATCTGCTATTTCGAAGGTCAGTCCATGGAGAAACTGAAGCTCGTCCATGCTATTGAATAAAACTCCGACTGTGTCAGTGCTTGCGCCACTCTCTCCCGTTTCCACAGTTTCCGTCTGAGCACCCCCCCCCCCCCCCCATCAGTGCATCTGTTGGTGCAAACACTGATTCTGGAAAACGGTTTCTGTTCAGTAGAAAAATCGCAGTGGCCTGGAATGCTGTTGATAGCAGGTCTGACTTAGTGGTTGAGTTCCATGTTGTCCTCAGTATACTCTTGAGCCGTGCTGAACTGCCAAAAACTCTGTGAAGTTCTTTTAACGCTGTTTTGAAGGGCTTGAAGACAACCTTGTCTAACGGTTGTAGCACATGGGTGGGGTGGGGAGGCAGGGCAAGGACGTGAACGTCTTGCTTCTGTGCAGGCTCCAGCAGCTCCAGTACCTCGTGGCTATTGTGTGAGTCTAGAATAAGCAGCTGGGGTCATGCTTCTCCACAGTGCTGCAAAAAAGCTTTTGTGAACCACTGAACTCCAATGTCATTATCCATCCAAGCATTATGTTGGAAGGGCCATGCGGTCCCTTCAGGTCCATCCTAAGTGGGAAATGATTAGACTGGCCTAATAGTTTTCCCTTTGACAACACAAAGGGGAGACATGGCTTGTCCAGCTGCGTTTATGCAGACAAGAGTTGTCACGCTCTCCTTCAAAGTACTGCATTTCGCGATGACGTTGCGAACGCCTTTCTGTGCAATCACCCTGGATGCGTCAGGTGAGAACTGAAGTCCAGTTGCGTCAGCATTCCAGATCTGTCCAGGCTTTTCCAAAAGTTGCAGGCATTTCAAAATGTTTTCTTGTTCAGAAAAATACCCATTAATGACAGGTCGAGTAGTCATGGCCAGTCTGTTAGAGGCACAGTTTTTGGTGGTTCTGATTACAAGGTCAGGACGCCTCTTCCTGAGCTGAGACCAATAATCTTTCCCAGGGATCCCACCCTTAAACTTTTCACAACCCTCCCTACTTTGAACAGAAACTGATGTTTGGTCGACAGAAACCCAGCTTTAGAAGTTAGAAGCGCTGATGACCCTGTCTACAATTGAATGTTCAATTTCCTCTGGAATATTCCGCTCCCTCCCTGCCCTCCTGTTTAGGTTCGATCTGCCTGAGACGTGGTCAGCCAGGATTTTCCTAGGCACACCAAAAGCTTTCGCAGCGCTGGAACTACTCTATTTGTCCAAAACAGTCTGGATAGCCTTCTGTAAATCCTCCCTGGAATATTTGTTATTAATATGTCTACTTGTTTTCACCATGTTTAGTTTGTATGATCTTTAAAACAAACAATTGAATAGAACAATCTAAAAAAAACACACACACATGTAGGTCAATCAAACAGAATCTGGCGAATTTCCACAACAGTGGTGATGATTTTTACCTGATTATGGGTACAAATGTAAAAACCTAGTTTTTTTCAATACAGCAGTTATGCCCAAATTTCATTGAACAGGCAGTTTAATACAAAACAAGAAAATTAACTACATGCAAAATATACCCAAAAAGTTGCAATTTAATTCAGAACCATATAATGATAACTGTCATGAAAGGTGACAGAGTTAGTGGAAGTAAGTGCAAGACAAGGCTGCAGAAGCAAAAGAGAAAGATGAGAGGTGACAGCACTTAGAAAGTCATAATTTTTGGTGGGACTATTGTGTCTGTAATATTCTAATTGGTTGATGATTTCATCTTATGACTTCAGTGACTGCAAGCTGGTGGACACTTAGACTCTCATTTAACCCTATCCGTACGTCGTGTTTTACTATTGTTTCCATACGACGTGGGGAACTCTGTGCAACCACTTGCCAAAGAGGACATTTACTAGTTAATCCGATCCATACGCTTTGCATAGCAGTCTGTCAAAATGATTTTTTGAGAAATACTGAAAGTTTCAAAGAGATCTTGGTACTAGAAGTATTCTAAAATGTGAAAAATTCAACCTCTGGGGGTACAAAATGATCCCAGGGCATACGGATAGAGGGTGAAATAAGTAAGACTTTACTAAGACAGGTTATTCCAAGTAGAAAAGGGAGACCAGGAGGCAAAGTTACACGGCCTTGACAATAGCATTAAACTGCATATTAGTGATGTTGTATAAGGTGCATCTTTGATAGAACTTTTAAATTGAGAGGATGTAAAAATCGAAAATTCTCAAACTTTGGACTTAAAGTGACGGGTTGTGACAGCGAAGATAATATTAATATTGATATTATTATTATTAATATTATTATTGTATAAATAATAATAATATTGATATTATTATTAATATTATTATTGTATAAATAGTATACCAGGTGTCCCAAATCGCGTACTACCCACATTTTCATCTTAAAAATAGCTTGTTTGATATTATTCTTTATATATATATGAAGCATCGTGGTGAAATCAAGCGCTCATCAAAGTAGTGAAATCGAAGACATTTGCGCTTTTCCTCCAGTTTGACCATTTTTTTGTAATTTTGTTTTTTTGGCTCAACACCTTTGATGTCCATAAAAAAATATATTTCTGTGTGGATGTTACTGAAAAACATTGATTAAAGGCACAACAAATGTAAATTTTCAGTTTCCAAGGACTCTCAAACTTTGGAAATCACCAAGCTTTGCCGGCCATTTACTCGCTTTTTTTTACCATTTAAACCAGACAACCCCGACTTTCAATCGCAAATGTCTCGACTTCTATTCGCAATAGGCGTGTGTTTTTTTTTCATTAAAAAATGGTCAAATGAACAAGCGATAAGGTGATACCAATAAATCCAGATGCGCAAAAATTGACGAGCTCCTGATTCTACCGCGTCGTGACACATATGATTGAATTGAGCTGCCTCAGAAACAAAACAAGCATCGACTTTCTCACCCATTCTCACTGTCATTCTGTATAACTATTAACATTAGCATTATTAGTGAGTATATAGATGATTAATTAGTAATTCGTCACCTAGACCTAGATCTACTTAAAATTTGTTCTTTTATGGTCTCCAAGTCTGCATGAATTTGTGTCCATTTTGAGAAAAATTATTTTCAATTGTTCATAGACTCACTGGCTCAGTTGGAGATTTTCATAAAATTTCTACCCTATAACATGATGTTTATGGCGACTGATAATTCCTTGAAATATAACCTATTGATTCTTGTTTCACTACCTTCTTCCACAAACAACGTAAAATCCAAACTCACATCAAGTAAGGGAGCAGATCTTTTTATAAAAGTCTGAATCACTGAGATGATCTTTCTCTTGTCAATATACTCGTAAATTCAGTTTCATCAGAATCACCTTCAGCCTTCATGACCATAACTTTTTACAAATTAGCAATCTAACACCTCTCTCATCATAAGAGACCTTTTAACCCTTGAGGTCACATCACATTGTAACAAAAATAATGTTTAGAGGCTACCAATGTTTTCTGGGACCTATGCTCGACACTGACTTTATTTTATTTAATGTTGGAAGATCAAGAAAAATATTATTTAAAAGAAAAGTTGAACTACCTGTACATATCTTTTTGACACTTTACCGAACTGTCTAGGTTACCCACATAAACTTACTTTGATAAGGCATAATCAACTCGCGTACGAGATGGAAGATATGCTTTCTTTGACTAGGATATATATATATATATATATATACAAGGGGCAGTTTTCTGTTTATCTGGGTTTTCCCACTCAAGAACCTGCTCTTATGGCCACCTGTCCAAGACAATCAGCTGTACAAACAACCACTCCCCCCCCCCCCCCCCCAACCCTCTTTGGGTTTTTTATATTATAATGACAATGTCCAAGATGTCCACCTGTCTAAGACTACCACCTTTTCTCCTCAACAATTTTTAGCCATCTGGGACAATTTTAACTGAAGATGCTTTTTTAATTGATTTATATGAGTTAATCGGCGTTTTTTGTTTTTGTCTTTTTCAGTATGTTTGGTCTTGTGAAATCTTTAGTGAAGGGTTTGCAGAAGCCAGAATATGAGCTTGATCAACAGGCAGAGGTAAGTTAGGGTCTGGCCTGGTGAAAGTGTCCACATTGTTACTATTCGTGAGATGAAGCACACTTTTGGAAGCAATCTTACAGCAAGATTTTTATACAGCTCTCACTCTGATAAACTTTTCTTGCTGTACATGAAGTTACGGCATTCTGTAAAATTGAAAATAAAGTGATAAATATTTGTTTTGTATCTTTTCTAATCAAAGGCAGCCATGAGTTTATTTCCTCCATGGAGAGGCAGGTCATACCAATCTACTGCCTCAATCTCTTGGAGGAACTTGTAACGTGGCAACCTTGGAAGCGCAAGCGCTATCTGTCACTAAATTTCTGCTTTTGCCAATAGCCACTTACACCCTTTACAGACTGCTGACTGTGGAAAATGAGTTTGAGTTCCTTTCGGTTTCAAAAGAATACTCTGTCCTCCTTGGCAGATCTGGGAATCAAATCATAAGGGTATGATTATGAGTTCAAAGTTTTAAGTACTAATGAATTTGTTTTGTTTTCATTTTTTTAACCCTTACAATGTCCCCCACTTACAACAGTCTCAGTAATTCAGTGGAACTCAGATTCAACGAAAACTAGGATTCAACGAAAGAAGGTGGATTCCCAGATTTTTAAATTAACAAAAATCAATAAAAAAAATAACTCAGATTCAACTAACACTTACATAAGCAAGCTCAGATTCAACGAAGTCGCTTAAGGGTGAACAGTCCACACTGACATGGCTTTGCTCATTTTCATTCCCCAACAAACCTTATTCCCGGAAACCATTCATGGCACCTGCATCGCGGAACATTATATTCGCATCATAGCCTTTTGTTTATATCATATGCGACCAATCAGCGGCCTTCTTTCATACCAACACATGCGTTATTGGCACACGCATGTGTCTAAGCTTTTGTCGGGGTCTGACGGGTGGCCAGCACAGGTGTGACTTTGAGTTCATGTGCCTTGTGGGAGGGGCCACAAGCAGCTCAGGCGTGGAACGTCAGTAGAGATATATATACAGTGGAACTCGGATTCAACGAGGTCGCCGGGCCTGACCTAAAATCTCGTTGAATCCGAGTGTTCATTATAGCAAACACGGGGTTTTGTGTAGATAATTACAGGCACTGAGCAAGTAATGTTTGAAGAGAAGTCACAAGTAGTGCCTGAAATGCCTGCATATTATGAGCTGTGTAAAAAAAAAGACCCGATTCGTTCAAATGCACACGCCTGTGTCACCTCGATTGTTTACCAAAAAGTTGTGTTGCTGTGTAGAGCCTAGCATAACGGCAACTTTTGATTTCATAAACCAGCGCACAATTCATTACGTAGATCTACGTCAGGACTAGATCTAGCTTATCATTGTAATAATGATCAGTTGCCGAGGGGG